CCTTCCACCACGATTGACTCCACAAGTGCCTAAATTGTCCCAATTGAAATTACTTAAAAACCTGTGCTGATATGTATTTTGGATTGACCCCCAATGATGTCCGAAAGTTAGCATTTCAATATGCAGTAAAATTAAATTTGAAAATTCTACCTTATCAGACTGAGAATAATTGTGCTAGTATCGATTGGTTTAGTAATTTTTTCAAGCGTAATCCTACTTTGTCCATTCGTAAACTAAAGGCAACGAGTTTGTCTAGAGCCATGAACTTTAATCCGGTCAACGTCAAATTGTTTATGGACAAATATGAATCAGTTCTAACTAAATACAAATTTGAAGCTCGCCAAGTTTACAGTATAGATGAGACTGGTATTACCACTGTTCAAAATTTAGGAAAAATAGTGGCACAACGAGGTAAGCAACAAGTTGGTGCAATAACGTCAGCTGAACGTGGGACGTTAGTTACTATGTGCTTGGCAGTAAATGCGGTTGGTAATTTTATACCGCTTATGTTTATTTTCCCAAGGGTAAACTATAAGGACCATTTTATAAGAGGTAGATCTCCAAGTTGTGTAGGAACCTCAAATAAATCTGGCTGGATGCAAGGTTCAGAGTTTTTAAATTTTATTGAACATTTCACAAATCATGTACGCCCTACAATTAAAAAAAAAAAGTCCTGATATTGTTGGACAACCATGAATCTTATCTTCCTTTGCCAGTTGTTGATTATTATAGAGCTAATGCCATTGTATTGTTAAATTTTCCACCACACTGTACTCACAAACTGCAACCTTTGGACAGGAGTACATTTGGGCCTTTTAAAAAATGTATCAATCAAGGAATGGATTCCTGGATGAAAAGTAAACCAGGAAAACGGTTTAACATTTATGATTTGCTAGCACCTACCAGCAATGCTATTATAAATGCAGCTACTATATAATACTATATACTATATAATTAATACTATATAATACTATATAATATTAAAAAACTTTAATTGTCTTCTACCAGAGAAACTAAGTTCATCAATTTTAAACGATGGAGAGGAAATAATTAACTTAGTTAGAGCATATATGGTTGATATTGAAACTACTGAACTTGGAGCTATAAGAGAGTTGAAATTATGGAGAAAATATTGTACAAATTTCAAAAGTGAAAATGCAATCGACACATATCTTCAGTATGATGAAAATGTTTTCCCCATAGTTCATAAACTTTTAAAATATCTGATTACCCTTCCTGTAACTACAGCATCAGGAGAAAGATCATTTTCTACCTTAAAGCATTTAAAAACATATCTTAGAAACACAACATCAGAAAATAGATTGAACGGTTTGGCGCTTCTAAATATACATCAAGAAATTAAAATTACACCTGAAAATGTTTTAAACTTATTATCAGCTAATGCCAGAAAATTAAACATTAAACTAGATTAATTTTTTTTCATCTTGTATATAAGATAATATAACAAGCATATTTAAAAGTCTGACAATATTTTTTTTTTTAATCAATAACTATGTATAACTATGTGATATACAGTTAAAATTTACTTTTGTTCTTGTGTAGTACCTTATTAGTAACTTATTATATTAGTATAATACTATAATATATTATATTATAAGACTTACTTTCTGATAACCTATTTTTATTTATTTTTTTGCTCAGTATACAGTATACCTAGCTCTAGATTCTAGGGCCTACAATAGTGATAGTCCGGATCTTCTTTGAACCCCCCCCGCATTTTGAAATCCTGAGTACGCTACTGACACAGAGTCATATTTTTAATATTTATTGTAACACTTTTATAATTTTTTATAAAGTATAGGTACATTCATAGGCGTGCGCAGACTTTATTCGCAGGTTATGCAATAAGAAATATAGGGCCCCTCACAAATAAATTTTCTAATCTTCCCTTAATTTATTTGCATTTTCTTTTAACGCATATAAGATTCAAGTCACAATCTAAGTTTTTGCATATATACTACGTAGCTTCTTTACTTCCCTTAGAATCTAAAATTACACATAATTTTATAGTAGAATATTAAACAATGCACTGTAGAAATAAGTAGTTTGAAATTTGATTTATATTTATTAAAAAAAAATGTATTATTTATTTAAGATCAAGTATGTACTATATTAAATGCTTTTGAATAATTTTAACATATTTATAATGTTGTTATTTTATGGAGAGTACTTAAAATCTAAAGTTCAAGTCTTCTTTTTATCGACACACATGCTTTGAATTCATCTATTACATCTTCAATATTGATTTCTGATGCCATCTTTTGCTCGATAAATATTAACATCAGTGAATCAAGACGTTCTTGTAACATAGTGTTTCTAAGTTTAGACTTTACAATAGACAATTTAGAAAAATGCTCTCACACGAGCAGCTTGTCACAGGTATTGTTGCAAATTGTGTTAAAGCTTTATTGAAGTTTGAAAATATTGTTTTCCGGTTGTTTTCTGATAACCAATTCAGCCATACTACAATTGTTTTAGTTGATAACCCTCTAATAGAAGTTCTATCAGACATATTTGTAATGAGCTTAATTTCAGACTCAAATGTAGTATTCAAATTAAATTTTTCCTTCAATATTGAAATATCATTACTATCAAGCTTTAATTGATTTAAATTTCCTGTGGCGGTAATTAAATTTAAAGTTTCTTAACTTAATAATAAATATGGACCCCTCCAGTGGCGTAGCCAGGATTTCTAAATGGGGGGGGGCTAACTACTTATTTAGATAAGTAAGGTAAGAGAGGATGTGGCGTACAAAGTGTTCTCAAATTGTATTTTAACAAAAATAAAAGAAAAAGCAGAACAGACAATTGGTGAATATCAAGGCGGTTTTAGACCAGGGAAGTCAACGACGGACCAAATATTTATTATAAGACTATTATATCAAAAAACGTGGGAATTCGATAGGGAGATACATACGCTATTCGTTGACTTCAAAAAAGCATACGACAGTATTCATAGGGAAAGTCTCATAAATATTCTGAAAGAGTTCGATTTTCCCCGGAAGCTGGTCAATCTAGTTTCAATCAGCATCATGGAAACCGTAGTCAGAGTAAAAGTCGGAAATATGAAGTCTGATCCAGTTACAGTAAAATCCGGCCTTAGACAGGGTGATTCCATCTTACCTATTATTTTCAACCTGGTATTGGAAAAAGTAATAAGAGAGATGAAAATAGAACCCCACGAAGGAATAAAACTCCGGGACTCGAATATTCCATTATTGGCATATGCCGATGATGTAGTACTGATGGACGAATCTCAAGATGGAGTTAAATGGCTTTGTGACAGACTTAATGACGCAGCACAGAAAGTAGGACTACAAATTAATGAACAAAAAATAAAAAACTGAATATATGATTATAAGTAGAAAAAATTGGATGGATCACGTTCTAGAGGTAGGATCATTTTAAATTTAAGAGAGTCAATTCCTTCAAATATCTTGGCTCAATTGTGACGGAAAAAAATGATATAACCAAGGAAGTAGCCGCGAGAATCCAAGCGGGGAACAGGACTTATTTTGGTTTGGAGAAACTATTAAGTTCTGAATCATTATCAAGAAAGTTAAAGGGACGTTTGTATACTAGTCTAATACGGTCAGTAAAATTGTACGGATCGGAAACCTGGGCACTAAGAAAATCAGATGAGAATCAGTTTTTAATACTAGAAAGGAAAATATTATGAAAGATCTTCGGTCCAATAAAAGATAACATCACAGGAGAGTGGAGAAGAAGGAAAAATATAGAGCTACAAGAAATTTTTAATGAAAACAACATAGACGATCAAGAAAAAAAGGTTGCGGTGGGCAGGTCATGCAATGCGAAGCCAGAACTCTTTACTAAGAATGGTTTTAGAACAGAATCCAGTAGGAAAAAGGCCCTTGGGAAAACCAAAGTTGAGATGGGAAGATTTAGTTAAGAGAGATATAGAAGACTTAGAAGGCGGAGCAAACTGGAAGGATTTGGCGATGGATAGAGATGCCTGGAGAATTGGTTGTGAGACGGGATGGTCCTAGCGGCCGAATCCCAAGAAGAAGAAGAAGAAGAAGAATATCTACATTTCATTAGAGCATATTAAAGATACATTCATTTCTGGAGTATGATATACAATTTTAATTTACCTAAGTAAAGTCGAAATTAGTTACCAAATATGTCTTATATAATATATATATATATATATAAATAGCATAATCATCATCATTATCTGTGTCATCATCACTCTAATCACTATCACCTGGTAATATGGTTAATATAATGGGTTCTAATATGGCATCCCTGTGAACTTCTCTTTCATAGTCTTGGGATTGAATACTTTCTGCATGTCGTACACATTTCTCCCAATCTTGTATAGTCACTGAATCTAACGCTTCATGAGTCAAACGTTCAATGTCTACCATGTTGAAAGTGTTATTTTTTTTGGCAACTTAGATTTAAAAAATGGTACAACTCGTTGTTCATCTTGCGTGTTTTCTGATTTTTTCGATTCGGAGCAAATGCGGCTTACGGTGCGAAGCGAAATTCCACATGCCTGGGATGTAAGGTCTTGAGCACATTTAAAAAATTCTGGCGTTAAGTCAGGTTTTTTAGATAAATTTTTTAAAAATATATACACGCTATGTATAATTTTTTTAGATTGACTATGAATATCTTTATCATTAAAAGACATTTTAAAAAATTACAAAATAACAGCACAGTAAATAAATTACTAAATCGCACAGGCAATACAACACTAAACAGTTAACACACGAATGTACCTACTCGTCGACCACTTGCGGGCTAATAGAGGTAGGTAGATGCCATGGTATTTCATTGTACATTTAGTATAAAAACAACCCCTCTTTTCACACACAATGCAAGAGAAAATAACAGCTGCAACAAACCATAATCCTATATAACAGGTCTATGCAACAAACTACCTGAAAGCCATAGAATGAAAACAGTAACCTTATTTTTTTTTATGATGTGTACAATCAGTGGCGGATTTAACGGTCGTTTAGTCGGCGAATACCGACGGGGCCCCTTCTTAAATTATTCACTGAGGCCCTGAAAAATGTGTACAATACACAAAATGTTACGCTGCTCGCGCGAAATACGCCTCATGCGCCGAATGTTGAGAACCACCGAGCACAGGCCGGGTGTGGGTTGGGGTACAGTCAAGGTCACACGCCACTTTTCGTGTCCCCGACTATAGCAAAAAATGTTGATCTTTAAATTTAATACTTAACTAATTAATTAATAAATAACACATTTATCATACAAAAAATATCGGTAAAACTTACCAGGTAGATTAATTGAGCTCCCATATATATAAGTGATGGATCAATGCTCTATTGTTGTTTGCGCACCATCGCGACGAGCGTCGAGGATTCGCGAAGACCACCGTCGGCATTCCCTCTTTTTTACCCCTACCGGTGACATGCACCCGGCTGCCCGGCCGTCGATCGCAGTGATGTGTGCTGAAAAACTTGTTTTGTTTTTGCGTCACACATTCGCGCTTGGCCGGCCGATAACTATCGCGCCTATGCCGCCTTTCTTTCCGTGTGTTATTTTCCTAACACCGATTCCTTTTTGTACGCGATTATCGTCTGTCGTGCGTTTGATCCGCGACCGTTGGTCGATCTCGTGTGTGTGTCACCGCGTGTAGTGTCAACCCGTCTTTTTTTAGATATTGTTGACCTCGTGGTCACTTTCACGGCCTTGCGTCCTTACGCCCCGTTTATCGCACCGGTTGATTATTGGACAGTGGTATTGTGCTATCACCGTGCACGTGTTTCACGAACTCGCTTTTGTGCGTGTTAGACAGTTCTTCTTCAAGTGCGTTTCACGTACGTCAACCTGTTTTCGGTTCCCGATCACTTTGATTTCGTTGGTACCACGTGATTTTCACCCATGGTCCTTGTTACAAGCCGGTTCGTCGTGCGCGTCACGTACGCCAGTAGTTCCAACCTCGTTCCCGACACAAACCATCCATCGCCACGATTGTTGTCCGTTGTCCAATTTGGTACAAGTTTCGTGGTACATAAGAGCTTAATACCAACTATAAAGGACTTCAAATATGTAAATTCTAGAATATCAGTTCTAACTCTGTTGACACAATGGTTTGATATTAGTTTCGTTAACTTACACGCGTCTACAGAAGATAAACAACAAGAGGAAAAGGAACTTTTTTACGAAGATGTAATAACCACGATAAACACAATACCAAGGAGAAGAATTCAAATTGTACTTGGTGATATGAGTGCGAAGATTGGAAAAGAGATCGCATTCAGACCAGTTATAGGTAGTCATAATTTACATGACACAAGTAATGACAACGGACTAAGACTAATTGACTTGGCGACTGAAAGAGGTCTAGTAGTAAAAAGTACAATGTTCCCACACAAAATGATACATAACGGAACTTGAAGTTCACCGAACG